TCTGGTTTTGTTCCAAGGTTTGATAGTGCTAAGATTTAAATCCAATAAGAGATTTAAGATTCAAAAGCAACACTATTTGATCTGAATTGTTTTGAGATTCTGTTCAGAATCTGCTCAGAGACTAAAATGGAGACACACCAGAGTACTGCATGTGCTTCCTTTTTGGGCAGAATGCATAGCAAATAAAATGACCTAGATGTTTATATTAAACGTGGCAAAGTTTATGCTGCATCACTTTGAGGGTTTTAGTTTAATATTGGAAAATTTTCCCCCTCTTTTAAGGGCAGAGATCATAGGGAATATGAAAAAAAACTAGCTTTCATATTATCCAGTAAAAGTCTATGTAAGAAAATGTGTTGAACAATGCAGGAAGTATCATATTCCAGTTTAAATATAAAAACTTCCAAAAACAATTAATCTCTTACTAAATTTACAGAATCCACTGACCCCCGAGTTCTTGTTTTTCTAAGCTGCCAATTTGGCAAAGTTGGCTTCCATATTTTTGTTATATTTTTCCTGGTGTCCATTCTGAAAACCACTTGCTTGAATTTTAAGTTCATGATTTCTTGTCATGGCTTCCGGAACAGGTTAATAGTTTGTTTTATGCAGCTAATCTTTCTGCTTTCTGATGTTCCTAGGATGGAAGACATTATCACTGGACAGATGAAAAACACATTAGTTTCAGTCGTTGGTCTGAAGAAGGCAAAGATTTGCTTGGTGACTGTGTGTATTTGGACACAGATGGATTTTGGAAAACATCTGAATGTTATACAGAAAAACCAGGGGCAGTTTGTTACTTACCCGGAAGTAGGGCTTCTTTTATTACTATATGTCATGAGTCTACAGTTTTGCATTGAAAATATTTTAAGCCCGTAAAGTAAAAATGAAAATATACGTATAGTTACAAAAAAAATATACAGTAGAAAATAAGCCACTTTGTATTATATATGTATAGGTAGTCCTTGACTTACGACCACAATTGAGCCCAAAATTTCTGTTTCTAAGCAAAACATTTGTTAAGTGAGTTTTACTCCATTTTATGACCTTTCTTGCCTCACTTGTCAAGTGAATCACTGCAGGTGTTAAGTTGGTAACACCGTTGTTAAGTGAATGTGGCTTCCCCATTGGCTTTGCTTGTCAGAAGGTTGCAAAAGGGAATCAATCATACGAACCTGGGAGATTGCAACCGTCATGGATATGAACCATTTGCCAAGCTTCCGAAAACTAGTCACTTTTTTCACTGCATTTGTAGCTTTGAATGGTCACTAAGTGAATGGTTGTAAATTGAGGACTACCTGTACTTAAAATTACACAGCTACCCACCGGTGCTTTCATAATTCTTACTGGCTGCCAATCACTCACTTTTTGGCTTTTGAATGTAGAATAAGTTTTAAGGGGTCTACCTTCTCTAAAATAAAGCTGTACTCCACTTCTCTGCCAATTTTTTTTAATCATCGTTTTCCTCATAAATCAGAAGTTGTAATATCTTGAATGCTGTGTATGTATGAATTAATGTTAGATATGGTTGCAATGGTGAATCATTTTTTCAATATTTTGACACAGTGTATTCTCTGCTCAGGCTTCCTTGTTCCCAGGATAAAGGTGTTGAGACTAACTCAGCTTGCTATCAGGTTTAGGCTCTATATTGTAAATATATTCACGCTCAGAGGAAGAATTTACTTTTGGGGGAGAAGGGGAGCCAGTACAACTGATTAGAATTTATCTGCTGTGTGTTCCAGCCAAGGCCAATTTGATTCTAACCTTCTCAGAAGGCCCTGAAGACCTTGAAAAGGAGTCTTAAGGACTCCTGTGAAGGAGGAAACAGAGATGGTGGTGAATGGGAAAGGCGGAGGCAGCTGTTCCAGAGAAAACAATTCTTATCTCCCACACAGCTCCAAAACAAAGGCTCTGAGGATAAGTTATTCTTATTGGAGACCTTGGTCACACACATTTGTGAGCCACTTCATATAATGACCAATGAATCAGACTATATCCACTCATATATATCCACTCATATCAGTTAACTATTTTATAGATGCCTAAAAAGAACAGAACTCATCCTCTAATATATACAAAAAGTCCAACCTGGTCAACTGTTAGATTCCAGTACATTTACATCAAAACACTAACTTTTCCCCTTATTAGGGAATGTTTGGGCTTAATGCTTTTTATAAAGGGGATCAGTCTTGCAAAATCTGACAAAGTTGTAACATTTTACCCCCTCACCATTGCTATTAGAAAGTGTTTGGTCTGATTTAGGCTTAGAAAAAGTTATGTGTTGATAGATATGCTAGTTTATGAAGGCGGGTTGTTTCTTATCATTCTTGCCTTTGTAAAATTGCTTGTTTTGATTTCTGGGTTAACTTTTGGTCTGTGAGCATACAGCAGAAAACAAGTAAATAACAAATCTAGCTAGCCTGAGAAATACTAAAACAGTGGCTTTTGGTGGGTTGGGCCTATGTCATAAGAGTCAAGATGGCAGTTGAGGCAGCCCAATCAAAGCTCACTCTTTTATACATGCACATACAAAGGGGCTGGGCTTTTATCACAATAGTGTCACCAACTTCTTGATTGTGGATTTCCTTCCATCGGAAGTCTGTACATAAGGAATGCAAAGTTATAGATATAGAAAAGAACGAGAATACATTTAGAAAAGATTATTTATTTTATCAGTTTAGCTTTTTAAACCGCACTTTATTACTTACTAATTAACTCACAGTGGCAAATATACATGACATTTCCTTCCTTCTATTTTACCCACAACAACCATCTTGTGAGGTGGGTTGCCTGAGATTAGGTAGAATGTGGGAGGGAAGGAGGGAGGGAGGGGGAGAGAGAGAGAGAACACGTGTGTGTATCTAAAGAAAAGGAAACACAAGTGATTCTCATCTCTTTCAAACCATCATATTTAGTAAATGCCCTTGGCCCAAATGCCATTCCATCTATTGGAGAAGGATAAATAATACTGATTACCTTTATTTTTTTATAAGATGAATTTTAATATTCTGATCCTTCTTATTTCACATTCTCATTCCTGGTAACCAGATTTATTGTTTGTTTGTTTTCTTTGACCACAAAATGATATCATTAATGACCAGCATCCAGTAATTCTAAGTTGATGAAAGTTGTATTGTAGTATTAAACATTAAATGTATTTTAGATATTAAGCACTGCCTTTAAAAAGGGTTTATTTTTCAGATGATACTGAAACCCAAGAAGCATATCCTGAATCAATTAAATGCCCACACCAGGTTAAGAATATGCCATGGATAGCATATCAAAACAGTTGTTACACATTTTTAATACCACAAAATAGATGGAGAGGATTGAAAGCAGTTGAAGCTAACAATTTATGCATGAAAATGAGTAAGTTGTTCCTCTTTAAAGTTCTGATTTTTTCTGTGTTCAAAGACTTTTATGAAGAACATTTTTGGACTTGAGGCACCTTAATTTTACTGTATTTGTAACTTGCTGCATGCAAAACTGTTGATTTTACAACTGGGCAATACATGGAAAAGGGTCCTCATATTATTATTTTTTAATGTTACTGTTTAGAGAATGTACGTTTGTATAATATTAGAATACCCTGTGACCCACTGGATCATCCTTTGACATAATAAAAGTAATTGTTAATCAACTTATATATTTTGTTAACATTAACCTGAGTCAAGCCTTTCTTGCTGGTTATGACTAAAAGAAATGACTTCTTAAACACCCACTTTTCTTCTCACTTAAGAAAGAGGCTTCTTGAAGAGTTTCCAAGTTGCAATATTTAATGAAATATAATATTTGTATAATAAAAATGAAGCCAAAACTGCTGAACTGTAAGAATAATCATTTAGTTCAACATCCTGTTTCCAAGACTGGCAGGACAATTCCTGCAGCCAAATTATGCACACTTCAACAGCACCTCTGCTGTCGATTCACTTCTGTCAAATGGAGGCTATATCTACCTGTAATGAATAAAGCTGACAGCTTTTTATCTGTGAATTTCCCCTGAACTGCATTTTAAATTTCTATGAACTATTGCTCCACCTTCTGGCGTGGAATTCCACATATTAAATTACCTACAGAATTTTCTCCCATTATTTTCCTACTGAATGTTATTAAATTGTGGAGGTTGGGAACAGAACATATTCTTTCTCATGTTTTGGAAATATAATCCTCTTTAATCGTTGCTTGAAGCTCTATTATTTTTCTTAGGAAAGTTCCTAATCAAATGTTCCTTGTAAAACACTTCAGGTCTCTCCATCTTTTCCAGCTGTACATATCTATGTTACACATATTGAGAGTCCTAGTTATTGTTGCTTAACTTTGTCTAACGTGGAATTTGCTATTCCCATTATACAATAAAATGACTTTAAGATCTCTTTTCATATGGGCAGTGCTTCTCAGATCTGATCCTTTGCTTAAATCTTCAAAAAGATAGTGTTATAAAATTCTCTAAGTTCATTTCATGATTTTTTTTTGTTTCAACAGATTCAAACGCATCTCTTTTGAGTATCAGGGATGAAGATGAAAATGATTTTATTCTTGAACAGTTTCAGTCTTATAGTGGTCTTGTTCAGTGGATGTGGTTGGGTTTGATTTATGACACTGATGGTATGTTGGAAATTATTTATTGGCTCTTGCTTTTTGAATTTAGAGACTACAATAATTTTATATTATTTGCAGAACCTTGATGTGTAAAAAGTTCAGTGTTTCTTTTATTATATGATAATCAGAAAATGTTAATTTTGTTTTAGTTAAAATTGTCAACTGGGAGTGAATGGAACGATTCTCCAAAGTCAGTTTATTTTAAAATGTTTTACCCTTATTTAAGACTATGTTTATGATTGCATACTCTAATAGTGGCCTAAAAGGGGGCTAGACGGATAAGTAGTAATTAAGTTGCATTTCTAAAAATATTTAGCATTTCTATGAGTGTTAGAAGTGCAATTTAAGAATAATTCAAATGTAATGATCCTCTATTTCCAAATCCTTTGGCAACTATACACTTACTATGAGTAGTCCTCAACTTACAACAGTTCATTTAGTGACAGTTCAAAGTTACAACAGCAGTGAAAAAAGTGACTTACGACTATTGCAGCATCCCCTTGATCACAGGATCAAAATTTAGATGCTTGGCAATTGATTCATATTTATAACAGTTGCAGTGCCTGGGGTCATGTGATTGGATTTTGTGACTTTCTGACAAGAAAAGTTAATGGGGAAGCCAGATTTGCTTAACAACAATGTTACTAACTTAACCACTGTAATGATTCACTGTGACAGTAAAGGTTATAAAATGAAGCAAAACTCATTTAATGAATGTTTCACTTAGCAAAATAAATTTTGAGCTCAATTATTATCATAAATTGAGGGCTACCTGTAAATTAAATGGTCAGGACTCCTGATTTTTATTGGCCTTTGCCCTTTCAAGTTGTGTTAATATTGCCAAGGTGTGTATGTGTGTGTGTTGGGGGGGAGGTTCAGCCCTTTCAAATTTTCAAATGCCATTGATGTCTCTTGGTATTGCTTATTTCCCCTCCAAATCCTATATTTTCCTCTGCAGGTAACCTTCTGAAGTGGTATGATGACACATACGTGTCCTACAACAACTGGAGAAATGGGCGGCCTAACATCAAGAGTAACTTCTTTCTTGCTGGTGTTAACATGGATGGCTTCTGGGACATTTACGATCATTCGCATAATAACTGGTTATATTGGCAATTTGGTTTTCACAGCCTCCTGGTCTGCAAGCTAGACCTGGGTAAGAAACATCTCTTGGACTGAATTTCAGATTCCACTGATTTTTCTTTATGCAGCAGATACAGCAAAGCAACATGTAATTCATTCCTTGTCTTTAGAGACCAAAATCAGCCAACCTCCGCTTCCTACAAAGCTGCCCTACAAAAACAATGTTTACTGGATTCTTCGGCAACAGCTCAATTGGTATGATGCATGGAAAGAATGCAAACAGAAAGGAAGTGATTTAGCCAGCGTTCACAGTATTTCCGAACAAGTTTTTTTGGAAGATATTGTAAAGCGTGATGGATTTCCATTGTGGATTGGTTTATCTAATCATAATGTAAGTTGAATCAGAGATTTGTAGCTTATTTTTCACATGTGACAGAATCTTAGATCTGTTTACCAATGCCTAAGTATTGTGTTCTCCATTTTTGTACTTCCATCTTTTATGCTTCGTTCTTTTATATTTGGTTTCTTATCATAGAATCAAACCACCAAATAATTTTGATTTTCTGACTTCAGGCTTCAAACTGTATCCAATTTTACCCAATCCTTTTCATGTTACTACTCAAACATGTTTCATAAACTGTAGTTTTTCTCACAACTAATGGTCTATGCTCACGCAGTTCAAGTTTCAATCTGTGTTCCAGAGCCTAGAGTATTTCCATACACTAATTAAAGTTACTAAATCTGCCTCCTTCCTTAAGTTCAATGGGGAGCTTTCAAAAGTTTGCCACCCTCTATGGTGAACCATATCTGATGTGTGTGTGGAGGGGGGGGAGGGGGGGCAGTCATAGCTGGGAAAGGATGAGTTAACTTTGCCAACACCAGTCTTGACAACACCCATATACAAACATCCAAACCCAGAGACACACCCATGTGAGGGGGAGTGCTTTACTCAGGAAGATGGAAATGAGCAGAAGACAACTCGTTACTGCTTTTCAAAAAATTAAAAATCATGGCATGGGCTTTGTATATTTAGTCAGAAGAGAATAATGTATAACTGCTTAGTTCTATATCTGAAGTATCAATCTGACTGACAGATGGAGACTATGCTGAGAAACTGTTCCATACAGGGTTGCCTCGTTAATAAGTTCTCCAGAGAAGGCCTTACTCACTAATCCACATTTGGAAAGTAGTGTATTTTCTATGGCTTGCACTATTTGAAAATATTTTTTTCTTAATTATTTTACAATATTGTATGCTCCTCACTTCACACATCTTTTGACAAGACACAATAGTAATCCATCCTCAGAGGACTTCATAGCATTAAAAACATTTAAAGTGTCATTAAACTTAAAATCTCAAAATCAGAATAATCAGCAAATTATTAGACAATAGGGAATAGCAATAGCACTTAGACTTATATACCGCTTCACAGTGCTTTCCAGCCCTCTCTTAAATGGTTTACAGAGTCAGCTTATTGCCCCCAACAATCTGGGTCCTCATTTTACTGACCTTGGAAGGATGAGTCAACCTGGAACTGGTAAAGATAGACAGCTACCTTCCATTAATATTACATGGGCTCATTATGGACTTTTTCTGCCCATAAAAACATGGCATTCTGCTTGAGCACTCTTAGAATTTATTGACAGCCGTCCTAAACTTATTGTAACCTTTTATGATTAAAATGAATACATCTCGTTACTCTCTTTGGGTTTAGGACCACAACATCTGCTAGAGAAGCTAAGGCTTTTATGCCTCTGCTCATTCTATTACGCCATTTTGCAGAGATTACAAAATTGGAGGAAAAAACATTTTCTGACCCAGGACTTAATCAGTAAGATAATAAAATGCTTTACCCTACTCCATAAGACATAGCTAAGCATCTCCTATTTGCTGTTTGCCTTGGAAGGAGAGCAATGAGTTGGCTTTTCAGCCCATGTGGAGCTGCTCACGGTTGGGACCTTGAATCTCCATGCTACTCATTAACATACTTGCTAATTGCACTAGTATTGCTGAGTAAACTGAGTCCCTGAGGTCTTGCTTCTCAGAATACAGCCAAGCACAACTGAGTTCATGTGTTATGGTGTATACTAGAAAAGAATGTTAAGAAAAAGAGCCTGAATTTGTCATCTGTTCAAGTCATAACCATTTTCTCTAGCGTTTGCTAAAAACAAGTGTACCATCAGTATTGATCAACAAAGTTGCACCTTCCCTAGGGAAATGATTCTGATTTTGAGTGGTCTGATGGAAGCCAGTTTGAATACCAGCCTTGGGAATATCAGCATTCTCATACTTTTGGAAATTGTTTTGCTATGGACACTAAAGGAATTTGGAATCGCAGGAAATGCACCTCTCAAGGCGATGGTGCTATCTGCTACTTTTCTTCAAATAGTAAGCATATATTCCTGTATCATTTGATTCTTTTCCACCTAAGAAACTATAACACAAAATAATGGGCATTTTCTCCTTCCCATACTGAATATAATTCCTTAGCGGTAAGCAGATCTTAACCAGATAACATGGCAAGATAGTAGTTTTCAGCTTGCAGAGTGCTTTGAGCAGGGGTATCAACTGGATTTCTTCAAGGGCCAGATTAGCATTGCAGTTCTCTGCAGGCTGGCCGGGGGGGTGGGGGGGTGGGAATCGGGACGGCCGGCCTCCTGCAGAACCCTAGTGGCCAAAATTGGGGGCACATGAGGCCCCCCTGTGCTATTATATATAAATTTATTATATATAAATTCCTTGTGTGTCCAATCACACTTGGTCAATAAAGTATTCTATTCTATTCCATGTTTTGGCTGCCAGAGGCACCATGGACCGGTCTTTTGCTATTTCCCGGCTGACCCCACAGGCCAGATTTAAGCACCCTACAGGCCAGATCTGGCCCACAGGCCTTAGAGTTTGACGCCCCTGGCCTAGAGCATAATAAAAATAAGGTGGGTCTTATTTTCAGGCTGCCTAAAGGGACATGGCACAGATTTTTTAAAAAAATTGGAAAGGAAACCAAAAACAGATGGTTTTAATACTTAATTTTTATTGAGATTTGCCAACTGTGATGAATTGTTCAAGTGGCCAGTTGCCTCCTTTTGCTCCTCCTTAATAGTGGAGTTCCTGCTACTCTTCCTCAGAGGTGGTCTTGCAATGCTCTATACGGAAATGGGGTTGGAAAGTCACCTCTGAGGCTTTCAGGTAACACTTTTTCATAAGATGATGGTTCATCGCAGTCAGCCAGATATTCAGACTGGATTTGGCATTTTTATCTTGCCAAGGACCTCCGATAGGCAGGTGTTGTTATTTGATGGTGTTAGAGGCATCGTCACAGAATGTAAGCTGTCCTGAGTAAAAGCTGCCTTTTGCAATTGGCTGGTGGTGAATTTGTCAGTGATAATAAAATAGTGCTCCTGTTGTTTTGGCATTGCACCCAAGGTGCCTATTACTATTACTACTATTAAATTTGTTTGCAGGAATACTTGCTAATAGTATGGACAGCTCTAGCCCTTTTTGGCAAATAGGCCATCAGCACAACCCAGTTTTACCTCATGCAATTCCATACTAGCTACGTTTGCCTAACCTAGAGTCAGTTTTACTAACCAACATATTTTTCCTACGTATGACTTAAATGTGAAGTATATGACTGTTTATTTGATTTCATGGAAATGTTTGCAGTGCTGTTGCTAACGTGCTTATGATTCCAAATCTTCCCATGATTTTCACAGGTTGGCCTTTTGTAGGGATGCAAAAGATTCAAGCCGTAAAGGATTCAGGCTAGATTTAGTTGTCATCTCCATTCCCTTTTTGTGCAGAGATTTTTGTGTAAATCACTTCATGGGCTCAGGACAGACATTTATTAAGTCAAAGTGGTTGCACAGCCTTAACTAACAGCTAGATTGTTCCCTAAATTGCTGTTAATTCAAGTCACTTATGAAAAAGTACTCTTAAGTTACTAAAGAAAAGATTTTCTGGGTTATTGGTATGATTCCCCCCCACACACACACTTGGATGTGTAGATATAGCAATATATTCATTTGGGTGAAAGCCCAAAGAGTTGAGAGCCAATTCTGGGCAGTACCATCTTGCCTTGTAAAAAGGGGAAAGAAAGTCAAATGCATGCATTTCATTCCTTGCTATAGCTATTGCTTCCTAAGAGTTAAAACACTTTTTCCATGAAGATGTGCTATTACTTGTTAGCAAACATATTTAGAACCTTGCTTTATTTATATTTTGAACAGTACTAAAACCGTCAATTGACTGAGCAGAAAATGTTCATATTTGAATAAAGTTGATTATGCTATTTTGTTTTCACAGAAGTGCAATTAAAGCAAACCGAAACATCATCAAAGTGTCCAGACTCTCCTAATGAAGCATCACAATGGCTACACTACAAAGATTATTGCTATGCATTTGATATGGCATTTTATAATTATTCCATATATACTGGAACCACAGCTAGGAAAATTTGCAAGAAACTTAGTATGTCTAAATTATATGTTTCTTTTCTTGGTTAAAGAGTTATTTTTCAATATTATTTCAGATAACATCTTAAATAATTTCTTTTGGACATTTAAATAAATCAGATTTTCCTCATTTAAGATAAACGTTTTATTATTAGATCCTTCTGCAGATGTTCTGACTATCAAGGATGAAGAGGAAAATACGTTTGTGAGCACACACTTGAAAGAATATTATTTTATTACTGGAAAAGTATGGCTTGGAATACAATTTAATGGTAAGGAAAAGCTGGATGTAATATTAAATAATGTTTGAAAATGACAAAAACTATATACAGATGAATATCGTGCAAAAGTTCATTTATTTCAATAATGCAACTTAAAAGGTGAAACTAATATATTAGATAGACTCATTATATGCAAAGCAAGATAGTTCAAGCTGTGATTTGTCATAATTGTGATGATGATGGCTTACAGCTCATGAAAGCCCCAAATCCACAATCTCAGAAAATTAGAATATTACATGCAATCAATAAAACAAGAATTGTACATAGAACAATATCAGACCTCTGAAAAGTATAAGCTCAGTACTTGGTTTGGGCCCCTTTTGCAGCCATTGCTGCCTCAATGCAGCGTGGCATGGAATCTATCAGACTGTGGCACTGCTGAGGTGTTATGGAAGACCAGGATGCTTCAATAGCGGCCTTCAGCTCTTCTGCATTGTTCGGTCTCATGTCTCTCATCTTTCTCTTGGCAATGCCCCATAAATTCTCTATGGGGTTCAGGTCAGGCGAGTTTGCTGGCCAATCAAGCACAGTAATCCCTGGTCATTGAACCAGGTTTTGGTGCTTTTGGCAGTGTGGGCAGGTGCCAAGTCCTGCTGGAAAATGAAGTCAGCATCCCATAAAGCTCATCTGCGGAAGGAAGCATGAAGTGCTCCAAAATCTCCTGGTAGATGGCTGCATTGACCCTGGACTTAATGAAGCACAGTGGACCAACCCCAGCAGATGACATGGCTCCCCAAATCAACACAGACTGGAAACTTCACACTGGACTTCAAGCATCTTGCAGTGTGTGCATCTCCATTCTTCCTCCAGACTCTGGGTCCTTGGTTTCCAAATGAGATGCAAGAGTTGCTCTCATCAGAAAAGAGGACTTTGGACCACTGAGCAACAAACCAGTTGTTTTTCTGTAGCCCAGGTAAGACGCTTCTGACGTTGTTGTTCAGGAGCAGCTTGACAAGAGGAATACGACAATTGAAGCCCATGTCCAGGATCCGTCTGTGTGTAGTGGCTCTTGGATGCACTGACTTCAGCCTCAGTCCACTCCTTGTGAAAGTCCCCGACACTTTTGAATGGCCTTTTCCTGACAATCCTCTCCAGACTGCGGTCATCCTTGCTGCTTGTGCACCTTTTTCTTCCACACTTTTCCCTTCCACATAACTTTCTATTAATGTGCTTTGATACAGCACTTTGGGAACATCCAACTTTTTTTGCAATTACCTTTTGAGGCTTTCCCTCCTTATGGAAGGTGTCAATGATGGTTTTGTGCACAACTGTCAGGTCAGCAGTCTTTCCCATGATTGTGATTCCTACTGAACCAGACTGAGAGACCATTTAAAGGCTCAGGAACCCTTTGCAGGTGTTATGGCTTCATTAGCTGATTAGAATGGGACACTTTGAGCCTAGAATATTGAACCTTTTCACAATATTCTAATTTTTTGAGATTGTGTATTTGGGGTTTTCATGAGCTGTAAGCCATAATCATCTCAATTATGACAAATCATGGCTTGAACTATCTTGCTTTGCATGTAATGAGTCTATCTCATATATTGGTTTCACCTTTTAAGTTGCATTACTGAAATAAATGGACTTTTGCACGATATTCTAATTTTTTGAGTTTCACCTGTAGTACGTGAAGAAGTTTAGGTAAAAACGTCTAGAGTATATTTGTATTCATGGACAACAAGGAAACCGGCTTACAGTAAAGCTGATTTTGTTTTCTCAGTGTGTATATGAAATGGACTGCATTTTTAGGCAGTGTTCTCTTTGTGTCCTTGGCCCTCCTGAGATTGGCTTCCAGGTCACACAAAGCCTTCAAAGTGACTTTGGAAAATGTTCTTCCACAGCGAAACAGCACAAAAGCATGTCCTGTTTTTGTGTTACTGCTGTGGGGCACCTAAGAGCATATTCCATGTCCAAAACTTGTGTGAGAACAGGCCTTGCTTTTGAGAATGTTAAGCCTGGATTCCCCAACGGGTGTTAAGGAAAACAAACTAAACAGAACGTGCAGCGAAGTCAGATAGGAAGACAGGTAATGTGTGAGATAAGCCTTCTCGTTAACACGCAGTAAAAATACAGATACGCTTGTGCTATCAAAAGTATTGTTTATTCCATTTAAGAATTATAGCATAGTCATTATAAACAGTCCATTAGTCATATACCAAATTTCAGTCAAGTCTTGTCGAGGATACTCTAATTGCAAAGTCCGTGTCAAATAGCCAGTGTCAGTACACATATAATAAATCTGTCCAAAACTTATCTTCTCTCCGTTGAGAAATATCTTCAAAGTAATCCAACACTTCTTCTCCTCCCCGATCCAGCAAGAATGCAGTCTTCAATAAGCCAGCCAGTAAGAGCCAGAGAGTGCCTTGCTGCTTATATAGTACTTTTACAGCTGCACCCTTAATTACATTCCTTTAGCTTAAAGTCACATACACTTTATCTGACAAACCATGATTCATCATTTTATTATCTTTACCCAAAACAGTTAGGGTAAACAATGTTATCCCTAACAGTTGTTGGGTATTGGTGAATGATGGTGTGTCATCCCAAACATCATAGCATGTTACCTTTGACAGACATGTCATACGTTCACCATCACTGCTCTAGAGATACCAAGACAATCAGTATGGGTACAATATGAATGATGAAGAATAGGTTTCTGTCAGCCCTCCAGAGTAGGCCAAGGTCAGGAAGCAGACCCCATAAGTAATCCTGGGACTTTATTGATTTAGGGCAGGGGTCTTCAAACTTGACAAATTTAAGACTTGTGGACTTCAACTCCCAGAATTCCTGAGCTAACATGACTGGAGGAGGAATTATGGGAGTTGAAGTCCACAAGTCTTAAAGCTGTCAAGTTTGAAGACCCCTGATTTAGGGTATAGTAACAAATCCTGAAAGCCTGACTGCATTTTCTTTCCCTCTCTCATGAAAGATAGATGTAAATTGAGGTTTTTTTCTAATATTTCTTCCTGTTTTGGACTAAAGTAATGTTCTGTTGGGCTAGCTAAGGTAATTTCTTTGGTTCTTTTTTTGTTTCATAATAGCCCAATAAAATCTTGTGGAGGACAGTTTTCAAATGAACTACCAGAGCAGTTACACTCAAGCAGGCAGACTAATGTTAAGTAACTACACAATAGAGCTGAGCACACTTGAAATACCAGTATTTTTTGAAGGAAGTATGTTGGGCCTTATGTAAGAATAAGCACAGCATCTCCCTGCAGTTTATTAAAATACACTCTCTTTCCCCCCACACACACACAATTACAAACAAGTGTGAAAAAAGAACCATGTTAAATAATAATTCAGTCTAATTATGGCAATTAAATAAGGCAATAATTAAAGACATGCTGCTTTAATTATTCAGTTCATTAAAGCAGTTGTATCTAGTTTCAGACTTCTGGGGAAGCCTGAAAAAAATAGACACACTTTAACCAATGACAGTGAAGTACTGTACTTGCACAAGGTCTAAAACTTGGTCTAAAACATTTTAAGAGCATACACCACTTTAATACATAAGAATATCTTATATCTAATGGGAAGTGACAACTGCCTTTATTTTGTGTCAACGCACCCTAAAAATTGTTGGGGGCCTGGAGTAATGATTACAGCTGGCAAGCTTGCTTTACCATAATGGTAATGTGAGCTTTCCTTAGTCCTCGCATTGCACCTGTGACAGAAGTTGCACAAAGAAGTCTCTAAGGCATATTTTGTTGTGTCTGTTATTTGGCCTCAGCTGCTAATTGGGAAATCTTCCCCTAAGATTTCCTACCACCAACCACACAAGCAACTCAGGGAATATGCACTTAGCTCTATGCAGGCTGATGTTTTGATGTTTCTTGGAATAAACAGAGTGTGTCTTTACAAGATTGGTATGATTCTTTCCTCCTTGCCTGACCTAGTTTTTAGTTTAATAAAGGCATTATTAATTAAAGGCATTATTAAAGGCCTGTAATTTAGGGGAACAATTCAACTCTGCTTTGAATTGTGAACATGGCAAATTGCAAATTGATAAAGTGTTAGGACAGTTTTTAGATATTGAACCAGAGTACAGCTCTGACTATTTAGTACACATATAGCCAAATATAGAATAAATTGTGTGTGTATGTATGTGTGTGTGTGTGTGTATGTATATGTGTGTGTGTGTGTGTGTATATAAAGTTTTTGCAGGTACTTACATGTATGGTATTCAGCTTTGTTCAGGTATTTTCCCACGTCATTATAGTTGTGCTTTTAAAGTTGTAGCTACAACTTTAAAAGCACAACTATACACACACACACACACACACACACACACACACAGAGAGAGAGAGAGAGAGAGAGAGAGAGGAATAAGTGAAATACATTTTGTTCATAAATTAAAGAAGAAATGTTTTGGGTTTTTATTTACAGATAAGTCCTTGAACTGGCTTGATGGCTCTGAGGTTAAATATACAAATTGGGTCAATGAAACTGAAAAGGCTAATGGTCAGTGCAGTGTTATCTTTTCAACCAATGGAACATGGTCCAAAGCAGACTGCAACAATGAACAAAGCAGAGTTGTTTGCAAAATTCCTCAAGGTATGTAAATGATGATTTAGTTTAGTCAGATGAAGATAAGCTATCGGGTCCTTTTCAGATATTTTAGACTATGGCTTGCAGGTAAGGTGGAATAAAAATCTAATCATTGTCATCATTTTTTACTGTGACCGAGGATAATGGGAATTGCTTATTCCACAATAGAGTAACCTTTTTACAGCACTGTATAACGGGTACCTGGCGCCCAAAAAGTTGAGGGCCGCTGCAGTATAATGCAGTAGAAGGGTTGCTTGTTTCTCTTGACAGTAGAAGTAGATAGTAGAAGTGTTTTTCTTCTCTATGATTGAGACAGAGAAAAACAAAACTATTCATGTCTAGCCTCAGTATGTTAGTGGCTAAGAAAGCAGCCAGTTGCTGCAAGGAAGCTATGTAGTTCAGAACACTGATTTTTCTTCAGTCATGCATTTAAATGATAGGATAATCTTCATATTTAGTTTGATTTAAAAGGGTAGGTAACTACATTTATTTACTTTGTTCATTCAATACTTTTATGTTGTGACTGACTTTGATCACCCTCTGGGTAAAAAGATAGGATATGAATTAAGATAATAAAAATGACCATAATCATATGTGGCTTGTAGTTCCACTACTCTAGTTCAATAACTTTTTTTTGTTTCTTTTTTCTTAGTCTCTCATCATTCAAGAGGGGCAATAGCATTTGGTGTTATATTTGTTATCGCCCTTCTTGTTGGATTAGGATACGTCCTGTATAGAAAGATGCAACTACACTCAATTGGATTGGCTTCTGTTCGCTATGAGAGGGGAATGTATGATGATGAAACTGACACCATGTTTTCTAGAAATGACGACTAATAACCATTTTCTGCTTGGCGTACTGAAACCAATTTTCAAATCAGCTCCTGAACATCTTCCAAAGATGCTATTGACTTCCATTCTTGGGGTTTGTTGACACCTTCCCTTTTTTTCAAGTTTGTGGGGGGAGGGGATCCTTAACCACATTCAAACTTTGCACTTTTTGTGACCTGAGATTTGCACGTGACTTGAAGTATGGTGCATGGAACGATTCTGATATCCTGTACCATTTACCCAAATGAAGTAAGATAGCAGAGGGCCAGAGAATTACTTGAAATATAACTTATTGAAAATAAAGTATGTTGATAGCTTATGGTGTTAAAAATATTATATTTTCAAAGTTAAAGATTACTTTGAGTCAAGTTAAACTTTTGGCAACAGAATGAGGAGACCTGGGATTTCTCATCCAAGCATGAGCAGGTCCAAACTTGCTTACCATTTCTGAAGTCAACCAAGGTTAGTGAGATATTGCCATCTGCTCTGATCCTTTTTATTATCCTTCAGATCTTTTGGGGCCATTCTGATTTTCAATAAAAGCTCTCAAAGATTCCTTCCATCTTTAAAACAAATGTATTAAGAATTACAGTATATTAAACAGATAAAACTACAGAGAAACATATACGTACATACATTCATTATTATATTCCTCTCAAAACAAAATAGTAAAAAAAGGAAATTTCTCCTTTCATACCCAATAAGCTTATTCAGATTGACAATTTATTGCTGTCTTTTAAATTACAACCAGATATCTCTTTATTCCATACCTCACCCCATTTTCTATAAACTCATTTTTAAATTTTCAGCTTCCATTCCCCAACAAAGGTCCAGTAAAATTAACAAAAATACCCAAGGACATAAGTATATAATCCCTCTTTCTATTTAGCCTAAATCCCTCTCTTGAGCATTACAAAGATAAGAATAATAAGATTGAAAGCTATTGAACTTTTATCACAAATAACAAATCCTAATTTAGATTTCCAAAAATGGCAATGTAAATATTACAATATTTAGTTCGTTTACAAACAATTAGCATCACCAAAAATAGCAACTTGATATTTAATCATAGACAAATAAACCAATTTTGTATTTTTTTCCTTTTTCCTCCCAGTCATCTTTGAATCCGATAAATAAAGTTCTAACTCCTGTTTTCCTGTAGTCTCTTTGCCTCTTCTTTTGAAGTTATTATAGTCCATTTGTATTTTCCATGAAGTGATTTGAGCGACTGTTCTGTATTTCAATTTAAAAAGACAGTCCATATCATTTTGAATGTATTTTTGTATGAAAGATTTTTTTATTTTTTAAATGATCATCCAAATTCATTTGTAAATTCAATATTTCCAACTCTCTCCGTCCTTCTCTCTCTCCGCCTCTGAGTTGTAATTTTCAGATCCACCTTAAACTCCTTTTCAGCTGTCTTTAAAAGAGTTCATCTTCGCTAACATTTTTTCCAGGAAAGAATTAAAGCAGCTCAAGCATTTCAGAGCCTATAGATTAAAAAAAAACAACCTCAGTTTAAAATAGCCATCATGTACTTGTTTTGCTTTAAAATGTAAACAAATCAGATTTTTCCCCACATGAGGTCTTTCTACTTAGTTTTGAAATCTTTCTTTCTTAAATCAATTTGAAGCCTTGGCCATTAAAACTGTTTCAAAATAACTCTAAAATCAGTCCTTCAGTGTATATTGCAAAAAGTTTCCAAAAATAAAAATAAAAAATAGAAGACTTACAAATGCTGGAAAAAAAAATATTGTTTCTTTTAAACAGGCTGAAATGACATTTATCCAGCAACTGTAATCTTTGTTGTTCAGAAGTATTCTCAATCTTAAAAGAGGCAGTAAAAACTCCAGTGTGATTAAAAACATGAGGTTTGATCAAGCCTTGAGTCCCTAAGTTTGAGGCTCAAAGGAGGGTAGAAACCAGAACTCCCAGCTCCTTGCAAGCAGCTACAAAAACAAGAGTTTCTACAGAAATTCAGCTGATTGAAATACATACGGGCAATCTCTCTCTCTCTTCTGGAGAGAATTTGGCCAGTCTGGGTCTCACCACTAAGTGCCTTTTCAACCAAAATGCCCCTGCATCCACACAGAGGAGGGACTATGTAGGTATTGGCTTGCCTTGCAGCATCGGAAACCCCAGGGTTCTTCATCTTGATCAAAGTTACAAATTAGACTTGGATTCATTTACTATATTAACTTTTAAAGCTTGACTTTTATATTTTCTGTAGCTACAACAAAAGAATAGCAACAAATTAATTGTCAGATTTTATTTTTCTTAGATTTTGCTGTATACACTGGAACAGGTTAACCTCAGTTCAAGGGCTAAATGAAAGTTTCAGGGCCCTACTGTCCATTCACTATCCCAGATTCACAAATGGAAGTGTGTTGCATAATGTGTTTTTGGTGTTTTTTTATTATTATTTAAGTTAGGCTTAATATTTTTCAAAAGAGGTACTACTAAGCATTTTCTTTATTTGTATTCAAAATATATTGTAATCTAAAGTCTTATGGTCATAATGCTTTACTCATTCTTGAACTGGAATATCCATCATGTTTTATTCTTGTCTGATTCCATAGCGATGTATTGATGATTTCTGCTATCCATGCATACCATCAACTTCCTGCTCCTGATTCTTTGCTGTGCATGGCTTTTTCAGATGGTACTTGTAACATGGAGCAATTCAACAAGAGTAAACACCATATTTTGTCAGACCTTAATAAACGTTAGAAAAGTAATGTTATAAAAACCTTCTGATTTCAATAGAGTTTGCAAAGAGATCTGGCTGATTTTTAGTAAGAAGCCAAAGCATTTCGTGGCATTAGAAAGACTAGTAAAATTTGTTAGCCTTTGAGGTGCCAAAAACACATTCAATTTTTATGATTTGATTTGTAGCATTTCTTAAAATGTTTTCTTTAATGAAACACACCAGAGAGATAACTAACATCCACTTCTGAAAACTCAGAGGAATACCATCAGAGATTACAAGGGAAAATATTGGTTTATTGCTAAGTTAGCTCTTTTAAAAGATAGTGAATATACATCTCTGGAGTTAGTGATATATACATCTCTTTTTTTAAAAAAAAATCAAGTGTGTTTCTTTTTTCATATACAAGAGGAAATGTGCTCCATGGCATTTATTAAACAAATGCTACATGTGCAGATAGATACCCTTTCCCTTTATGAAAATAAGAATGTTTTGTGTGCCTTGAATTCTATATTCTATGGTTCCAATGTAATGGGTGTACAGTTCTATGCACAATGATAGGCCCTTGTGGTGGTTTTTGCCTTGCCTTGTAGCAAAAGATAAACCAAAGCCTACAACTTATTTCTTTCCAATTCCATTTTTCAAGACATTTTGTGTGGTCTTTATAAACATGTGCTTAAATACATCCTTTTCTCTAGGTGAACACTTGTTTTTAATTTTTTAATGTTTATAGTTTTAATATGTTTTTATGTTATTTTATTATTACCGATATTGTTTTAATTCTTGATTGAGAGCAGCCCAGATTTTGTTGTAAGGTGTGTGGCTATATGAATGTTTTAAAATCTGGACAGAAAACCAACTTTTCTGCAGTTCATTGCACTGCTTTCTGTATGTTCGTTTCTGCACTTGACCTTTAACGATTGGAGGGTATTTTACTCTGAACTTTTCAGGGGCGTCACCACAATGTGTGTGAGGACCTAATAAAGAAAAGAGGTAGTTTGCACTAATGAAATGATGGCTGTTATATGTATGTATGTATACACACACACACACACACACACACACACACACAAAACACTTGTAAAAGAAAGAAATGCCTGTATATGCTGTGTGTCAGGAGTCAAAGGGACAAGAACCCTAACCTAAAACTAGAGATAGGAGAAGGGCATTAAGAAAAGATAAGCTAGGGACCCTTCTCTTGTTGCAGTGTCTGGTAGATAATACGTTATCCTGATGCAAGGGCTTTTCTAGTTTCTGCTAGCTTAACTTGGAAGGAGTAGTCTGCCAAATATTGCACCTTGAGGACATACGGGGATTGAGGTAACTTTGCAACAAGAGCCATTTTAAGGAACTACATTGAAGAAAATTCTAACCAAAAGTGATATAGTTCTTAAATTAGCAGCCTAGGTCAGCCTGCTAAATAAGTTACAGGATACAGTCAGATGGAGGAAGACACCCTTAGGCTGTGTAAGAAACCTCGTTCAGAAAACCAAAATGCCTTTATCAACGTTTATAGCTGATAACTACTTTTGTACACTGTTCAATCAACTTGCCAAGGAGGTAGTTGTTAATGTTATCTCGGTCCAACCAAGTCAGCCACTAAAGAGCAGGACTGAAAGAGTCCATATTACACCCCTGCAAATCAGGCCACTTACCGTATGCTAGGATCATACTTTCACAAGACTTGGTTACTATGGTCCAAGAGATCAAGTAGTTTTTTGTGTGTGTATGTGATGTTCCGTTTAATAAGTTTGTGCAACCCTACTGACACAAGATTATTTTGCACTCACAGGTGTTATTTTAATGTGAATCTGTACATAGAATAGGGATATCAATCCATTCAGCATAGAAATAAACATGAATAAAATATTCCACTGTTTCTATGAAGAATTTAAACAATCTAAAACTTACTTTGAAAATGGTTTTAATTCTGCTTGATTTTTTTCCCATACAAAAATATATTTTGACAAATGGAAAAAAAAAATGTGTGAACTAATACCTTAATGTATCTAATGGTAATACCTTAATGTATCTAATTAGCTCTCTTGGAAGGAGTTTGCAATGAAGCTCACCTGTGGTGATAAGAGAAACAGAAGACTTATTAAGGCTTCAATAATTGCTAGATTTGGAAGTGTAAGAAAATTACATTGATACAGTTCTTCTCTCCTTGTTAAAATACTTAGTATGCTTCATTATTTTTTTAAAAATATGAATGTTAATAAAACTCTTTAAAAAGAGTCATATGAGTTTTTATTTATAGAGGAAAGAGGACATTAAAGCTAGGGTTACCATCTGAACAGCAAAAATCTAAGTCCTCCTTAGCAGCAAAGTGTGAGTTTCCCCCTTTTTTTGTTATCTAGAGGTGATATGGATTTGTGCAATCCCAATCTGGTAGTTGTCATTAAACAGATCACAAAGAAAAGTTTTACAATTTTTATCCAGAAGGTAGGAGACCATTTGCCTACCCAAATGCTGCCTTTCCCCTAGATACATTTATATTTTCAGATCAAAAGATAAAGTATATTTGATGGGCCTACATTCCTTTTTCTTCCAATGTTCTAACTGAAGCAAGCATGAATGATGCTTGGAGACCATCAAGAAGAAGACACAAAAGTGACTGGTCAGGCATGGGTGAAATCAAATATAAGGGAGTATCTCTTGACTATAGGGGCAGCAAACACCAATAGTTCTCCCTTGTGTTCACTGATAGCTGTCCAGAGACCTTGCACACTCAAATCATGTTGGGCTCTGTGAGTATATTCAGGCTCTCTGCAGATAAAGTAACTCAGATCCACTAGCCTTGGACTGTAATTGGCCAGGCGGAGCTAGGGTGAGATACCCAGAGCATGCACTGGTTGTGTGATTGGGCCTCTTCTGGATCATGAATGCAGCTATAGGGAAATAAGCCACAGATGGGTCCATGCTGCAAGGTCAGCCTTTTTGATGAAGTTTTGCATCCTGCCTTGAAATGTTGTGTGCCCCTTTCTCAAGATGCTGTCCTTGGACCACCAATTGTGTTTGATAACTATTGACAAATCTCAATGTAACTTTTTTGGGGGGAAATAGTTGAGAAGGTAGTCAGCTTGCAGCTGATGAGAATGGAGGAATCTACATTCATTTTAGTAAGCTTTCAGACTGGGATTTAGTACTGAGGCAACGTTCATGATTGTAAATGATTCTGTGATGGAACCAGGATAGTAGCGGTGCATCCATTCTGCTGCTGCTTAATCTGTTGATGGTTCTCAATATTGTTGAAAAACTTAACTCACATCTTCTTCTCCACTGTCCTATTCTAAACCAGTCCTCACTGAATTTCTGGGGATTCTTTTATTAAAATATGCATGGGCAAATATTCAGCTATTTAAATCCATTAATGAACAGTATGAGGAAGAAAGTTTGAATAAGGCCTTGCTTTTGAACAATATGTAAGTAACACCATCAGTTCAGTGAATATCAAGTCATTTTAGAAAGCAAATCCATTTAATTGTATAATTCTGTGCATTAGACAACTACAAACTAGCTCCTAAACTTAATTCAGTTTGAGCACATTTTATAATTACACTTTCCAGAGTTGATAGCATAATAGCAATAAGCTGTCTCTTCCAATCCCATTGTACATTCATGCTGTGTCTCACAGAAAGCAGCTTGGGGGGAAGTGTAAGTGCTTTCAGTCTAAAGCAAAAAGCCCTCCATCTAATGCACATTAAAAATTTATGAGCAAGGCATTAGCCATTTCACTAATGGCAGAGCAAAAATAATTCCTAAGGAACGTGGATGAAGAGAAGCAAGTAATTAGAAGGACCATGAAGGATCCATGAAGCAAAGACATCTGCCTATTTCATTATTTTCACTTCACAAGAACATTCAGAGTCGACTCGCCCAAGCAGAAGACCTGCAGCTGATTACTGGATGTCCCTAAGCTTGTGTGACAACACTAACCACGCAGCTTTCTATGTACCACCCTATCCCAGGTTG